GCGCCGCGCCGGGCGCCGCGGGCCCTACCTGTGCCAGCCCGGCTCCAACCGCCGCCGCGACGAGCCCGGCCCGCCTGCGTGCGAGGGCCGCGCCGGGCGGGACGGGCTGCGGGGCCCGGCGGCGCGGACGGGCGGACGGGCCCAGGGAAGGAGCCTCGGCAGGGAGGCCGACCCCGCCGCCGCCGCCGCCCCGACTCCTGCCCCGGCAGCTCTGACGTCTGCTGTTGTTGCTGGAAGTGACGTCCGCGGGGCGGGGCGGGCGGGGAGAGGAAGTGCCCGTCAGGTTCGGCGGCGGCAGATTCGGTCTGCGCCCGCCGCGTCCGGGAGCGGCCGCGGGGCCCGGCGCTGTGCCGGGGAACGGCGGTGCTTCCGGCACACCGCCAGGGAACGGCAGGGAGCGGCGCTCCCGCTGCTCGGGTGAGCGTCAGCAGCGCTCTCGGGGCGGGGCTCTGTCCTCACCTGGGGCTTTCACTCGGAGACGGCGAGCTCCAGGGAGGGCCCGCTCCGGCTGTTGCAGGGGCGAGAAGGGCGGCCGCGGAGCCGGCCGCGGTCCCACGCTTGCGAGTTCGCCGCAGCGCGCTGGTTCCGGGAGCGCAGCCCGCCTTGCCGTGTCCCGGCTGGGACACGCGTTTTGCCCGCTGGTGCCCAGGGCAACCAGCCGAGGACGCGCAGTCCCTTGTGCCGCTCGCTGGTGTGCGGGCGGCTCCTGCGCGAAGGGCGTCGCGGCTGGCACGGCGGCCAAGTCCCGTGCGTGTCAGTGAGGTTTGTGCATCTCGCGGAATGGTGCGATTTCCCCCAGCTCCCTGCCCGTGCAACAGGGGAGTCTAGATTCACCTGGAAGAAATCAAAAGTCTAGTTGTTGGGCATTTCAAAGACAGCGTTTACAGTGGTAACATACTTGGTAACCTGCAGGGGGTAGTTTTTTAAGTTTTTCTTTGTTTGTTTTGGTATTTTTGTTTCGTTTTTTACATTGATCCTTTGAATAGCATATGCAGTTTTGAGAGTTGTTCTTTGAACTGCTTTTTCGAAGTGCTATATTATCATATGCTGAAACTTCGTTATACTCGATTTTATTGATATCTAGGGCTCTGTAACTTATGCTACAGATTTCTACAGTCAAAAGCTATGTGTCCCATTTTACTGGGTTCACCTTCCCAAGATTTACTACCAACTTGACTGTTACTTTTGTGATCTCTTAAGCTATTTAGTAGTGACAGTAGTTACCAGTTTTTATATCCAGAGGTCTGGTGTAAAAAGAAAGGATTGTTGATACTTCTGGGAAACAGCCTATATAGGATTAGACAATATCCTGTGAGAGTGTCTTCTGTGAATATTTGCATTGCAGATTAGAGCTTCCGTTTTATGTCAGATAATTGGTTAAATTCTTCCAAGCTTTGAAAAGTAAGTATTGTGTACTTCTGTTTAGTGCAAATAATAAACCAGGATCTAATGTTTAAATTAAAAGGAACCTGATGATTAAGTAGGAAGAAAATCCTTTTAACAAGGGCAAAACCCATGGGAAGAGCTTAATCTTGAGGACTGCTGATTAACCACTATAGAAACACAAGAAGAAAAACACTCACAACAAACCCAGCCCACTGTAAATGGAAGCTTTAACTGTTTCTTGAGACCATTGCTTCATTTTTAGGCTGTGTGACCATGTTTCTTCACTGCTTGGGATGGTAGGCTTCAAAGTACTTGTTTTCTTCTAAGAAAAGAAATTTAGTGAAGATAATGGCAGGTAATTATCTCCCAGGTTCTAGCAGAAAATTGCATTTTCTAATTTTTGTGTACATACTTTTTTTGAACATATGTACTTTTTAGATTTATTTCATAATCTGAAAGAAGAATAGCATTTGGAATAATGGCAACAGGAGACCTAAATGGAAGTTTAAGAAAAATTGAACAAGGACTTCGCTTGTTAAATTATCCAAGAGATGTGGATTATACAGTGTAAGTGGCAGTGTGAAAACTTATGCTAATACATGATGACGGCAAGATGTGTAAATAGGATATGTATAAATATTAGCATTGCCCCAGTGGTAAGTAGGCAGAACATAACTGGGAAGTTGGGGTGTGGCCTGTGTGAACTGGAATATAAAATTATGCAGTTTTGCTCTTCTGAGCAATCCTTAGAACAATCCTGAGCTGTATTAATGTCTTGCTCTTCTTCTGCTGTTCTTGTCTTTGTTTTGGTTAATCTTACCTTTTGGATTTCTTTGGAAGGGGTTTGCAAGTTTTTTTTCGGGAATTTTCTTCCCTTAAGGTTTGGAACCAACCAAAAAAAAAAGGTCTGAATGTTGAGCTGGAAATGCTGGTGGGCTTTAGACTTAAATTATATGAAGATCACAAAAACATTGTTTTGAGCATTTTAAGGATAACAGCAAAGACAGCTGAATGAGAGATGCCCAGATAAAGAAATGTTAAGATGAAAGATATTTGGATAGAACACGCTGTGGGCTAGAACATTCCTTTCAAGTTAGATGTTGTAATTCATGTCATGAAATGCTTTTTTTACCTTCTGGTGTGTAAAATACTTTTGTTTCTTTATAGGTTAGTAAAGGGTGATCCAGCTGCATTTTTACCTATCATCAGCTATTGTTTTACATCTTTTTCAACTTGCATAGCAGAGCTTTTGGTAAAGTGTGATGTGGAACTGACAGCCAAGAGTGACTTGCGTTTTATTGAAGCTGTTTATAAGGTATCTCTTCATGTTCTTTGCTGGAGAAACATGGGTTTGAGTATAGCTTCACAGAAATTAAACGTTTACCATGATCTTTACTAGAAAGTGCAAGTTTTTGGCAATGAACATGAATTTTAGTTCTGTTAGGATTTAAGATGAGTAGCAAGTCACTATGTGCAAGATTTAGATTTTAATGAAAATAAGGATTGGTGGTGGTAGCCAAATCTCAGTTTTGAGACATTTGCATGAATAATAATATTGTTAGATGTTAATTTTGAAGAACAGAGAAATGCTTATTGGACAATAAGATTTATGGAAGTGATTTTGGCAAAAATCTTAACCACCAAAAAAATCACAAGGAACTCAAAAAATTGTAATGTAAGCACAGTTTAGAAATACAGCTATTTTGATACACTATGCCATTTTAATACATAAAGTTGAATATTAACCTTTTATAAATCGGAATCAAATTCTTAACTGATTGAAAATAACTTTGAACTATCCTTAAAATATACAAAAGCACATTTTTATGAAAGGTGGATTGATGAATTAAGAAATAGGAGCTTATTCAGACTAGTTTTCTATCTGAGAGACTGCTTTACAGGCTTCTGTGTGAGCATTATGTAGCCCTCTGATGTATTTGCAGAGATAAATATAACTTATTGTAAGTTCAGTTTAAAAATTTTTTTAGTCTTAATTTCTATAGTCAGTTATTTCTTGAATTTTAAGACTGGGAGTTGATGTTTACAAGAGTGATGTGAATGAAAGATGAGATATGTTTAAAGCCTAGTTAAAAGAAACATCTATTTATTAGTATATATATAAATAAATGAGAAAAGGCTTAGCTGCTGATGTGCAGAATGAAAGACAAGATTGTAGTAAAATAAGAATATGGGCAGGCCATTTCTACAGCAAATTGTAAGGTGAATTTGAAAATGAAGTAAACTCTTATTTTGTTGCAGTTTCTTCGAGATCAATTTCAGTATAAACCAATTTTAACTAAAGAGCAGTTTCTTCAGGTTGGCTTTGCAGAAAGAAAAATGCAAATTGTTTGTGACATTATCAACTGTGTGGTGAAGAAACATAAGGAGTTGAGTAACTCTAGTAAGGTACTGATCAAATTGTTACCTTTATTATAAGTATTTTTGACATGTTTGATGCTGCTGAAGCTGGTCTTCAGTTTCTATTTGAAGATGCAGCATTACTCATGGACCAGATAATGGAAAGTTAGTATGAAGTTTCATTGTAAGATGCTTGAATGCTTTCATTCAAGACATAAAGCTGCCAATACTTTGTAGTATAAAAAAAATTAGAATGGAGATAAA